ATAAAGATCTACTGCAACACTTTGATTGCCTGCGTTTGTCATTGTCAATGAAGAAATATACAACTTGTCTTAGGAAAGTTAGCCTTTGTCCAGTGTAGTTTTGCAATCATTTATGTTCTGTATGAAAATGACTTGTTATTACTGTTTTGCTGTATTTTTTGACATATAAAACCTGCACAGCAATTCTCTCTGCTCATTCTTACAAACATTGCCTCTTCCTCAGCTAAGATTTCAATACTGTTGATAGAATGGCATTTAAGAAAAATAAACCTTTCTTCAGCTTCAATAAAAAGGCTACTTGCAATTAAATGCTACAGGAGGCAGACTATTGTCCCCATCACTGCAGCTCCTCTGCAGAACTTACTCCCTGATGCTTGTGTTTAAGAAACAAAAGCAAGAAACAGAGATGGTGCAGATGGGCTAAGGCTAAAAAGCTGACCTATATGTCACCCCACCCCTTCTTACCCAGATCCATGCTTTTTGAGGCTTTCAGATTAATTGATTCAGACTGCTTGGCTGGTGTCAAGGATCTGAAGTTGATGTGCTGATCTGTTAAATGCACTGCTGAATTTATGATAGGGCTGCAAGGAAAAAAAAGTAAAATATTTAGGCATCAGTTCAAATCACAAGTGAACTAATTAAAGCATGCACAAATACATGTGTTTCTTCCTCTAGCTGCTTACAGCCATGCATTTTAAAATCAGTTATTGATCTTCAATTTTCTTTTCTGAGACTTAACACCTTCAGTCACTTGTTTTTCATCATGGATGCAAATGTAAATGCTTAGTGAGAACTGCTTTTAAAGAATTCCTATTTTATTTAGCAGAAGAAAAGAGGAACATACCAGTATCTGCTTGACCCCATTTTGCTAGTTCTATTTAACCACTGCATTTCCAAATAACATGCTACAGAAAGTTGGAAAATACTGCCAACATACCTGGCTCAATTTTACTTTATCTGCTAATACAAAGTTATTTTACAGCCTGGCACCACTTCTGCAAAGGCTGGAGCCTGGAAGTCTTAGGGAGGGTCCCATAACACACTGAAGAATTCCAAGATATCCTGGTTTGGGTTTTGGTTTTTTTGTTTTGTTTTTTAATTAATTTACTTCAAGTTAGGCAAAATATCTAAACATTTCAAAATTCCACCTGAGTGAAACTCAAAGTAACTTTCACCCATGAGGAGTTAAAACACCTCACTGCAATGTGCCTGAAATCTTCTGTGTGTCTCTTCAATTAGAAGCATAAATTATTTTTTGAAAAAGACACTGTAAAACCAAAAAGCAGTTCCAAAATTACAAACATTTATTTCCAAACTGTTCAATGAAAAGGTTTGGTTTTACAGTGTCAAAACGCTTTCCTAAGTTTTTTTCTGAAACACAATTTCAGTGAAATCAGCATGACTTGACACAGCAATTCAATTTCAACAGAACTTAAGTCCCAAATGGAAAACCAATACAACACTGGAAAAAAGTCAGGGTGGGAGAAAGGGCCTGTAAATTCATCATCATCATTTAAGAGAATGCTTTTGCTCACAGCTTGTGAAAAATTAGCAACAGATTCTAGCAAAGAACTGCAGCTGACAATTTAATGCTGAGTTCCATTAGTCTACACAGACTTTTTTTTGTTTACCATGTCATACATACCTGCCTGGGAGACCAGAAATTATGAAATTATTCTAGTGACATTACTCTATGTTAGCAAAAAGAAAATAGTTACAAGAGTCTTCACTGTATGAAGAATTCAAGGTATCCATAACAAAATACATCTACTGTTCGACACTACATGCAACCAGTCATTTAAAAGGTAGTTTTTCATGACATCCATGCACACAAGGACAGAAGTATGGCTAAGTTTTTAGCTGAAATGCATATGTTCCTAATATTATTGCAATAAAACAGTTGCGTGACTATTAAAACTGAATACACACAAAATAAGTGTTCAACATTGACTACTCAGCATCAGAAGTTTGACAGGTTGAAATGATGCTTTGATTTGAATCCTGTGCTACTCGAGACAAAGTATATGCCATCATGAACTCCAATATGTTTACACTTTTTTCTGCACTTCCAAACTTCTGTATTTACTAAGGAAATTAAAGCTTGTAGCTGCCATCAAGCAGCCTTTACAAAAGGTATTCTTAAAATATCTGAAAAATCTACCCAATGCATTTACATGACGTGCTGCATAAGAAGATTCAGTTTCCTACAAACTGACTTTGGCCAGGACTTTCAAAGCTTTAAGAGAGTTCAGGCACTGCATCTACACATTGCACCCACTGGTATGGTTTTAAATTCACTTATTTTTTTAATTGGGATTATGTTTCAAGATTCTTTTTGTTTTACTAAACACACGCTGGGTATTGTGATCTGTATATCATGGATAGCAGGCGTACTGCAGCTTACGAACAACTGAAGTGAACAATGCACTAAATGCTAAAATAACATTCCCAGCTTAAAGGATCATCCAGGTGACTAAAAATGGTGTTGAAAATGTTTACAAAATAAGAAGTCATTTTAAATATAATTTAGAACTACTATCAGAACCACTAATGAGCAATTAGGGCTGTAACTATTAAGAATAGCTAAAGTCCAACCTATTATTATAGTCCGCATTCAGCAGATCCTCACTGGGATGTGGTGGGAGAGGTGGAGGGGTTTCGTTTTCACCATTGCCACGATCAGACACTGGCAACTCTGAAATAAAATTTTAAAATGGGTTAAATAAACCACAGAAACAAGTACATTACACCAGTTCACTGATCAATGACTGGACTGGAAGTCCTCAAGCAATGCTGAAATGAGTCACAAATTATTCAAATCCCTAAACTAACTAAACTAGAATTAAAATCACACCAAGCAGAAAATATACCCCTTGGGATTTCCTGAAGAGCTGATTTTCAGATTTGCATATGCATAATTAAAGATAAATATAGGGAAACTTTGTGCTTATAGTGAAATTGAGTGCAAGGCACAAATTGCTTTACTCCGTTTGAGTGGATTTTCACTACTACATAGCTGCATCCTAACTGATTGTAGGTTCATGCTTTCATTCCCTTTGACAGGGAGCACATACCACCTTTCATGTACAGAAGAGAACCACATTCTCAAAGAGTTCAGAAGAAGAAAAATTTCTGTTATCCCATGGCAAGAGAAGAAAGAGGCATCTCTGAATTACAGTCTTCATTTTCCTACCATTACGGTAATTCCTTCTTTACCTTTACAAAAGGCATCCAGCTCACACTTTGGGCCAAGAAAAACATGAACTACTCAATTGAACCATTCAGTGGTTTGCTCAGCAACAACACTTACATACCTGCAGTATTTAATATGACTGCTGTGCCTGCTGAAGGTCAGTTCATTATTCACCTCTCAATCTAAAGGTCTAATCTTATAAAAAGTCCCTACTTTTTCCAATGCAGAACATGTCTTCACCCCTCCAAAACTTAACAGGAAACATGAGGCCTTAATAATCTTGGGTTTCAATGGCAGGTAAGCAATTTAATAATACTGACGTACCACACTTTCATGTGACCTTTCTGTTGCATTGAATGTTGCTAGTCTTTTTGCACTTGTGTGAAAGTACTAATCTAACTTGACAGGAAAGTGGTTTACAAGGAAGGGATCAAGGCTGATAGCAATAGATTATATTTATTAGGTAAGAGCACTGAGATAGTTCCCTAAAAGAAAATAACCAACAAAACCACACTTTTAGCTCAAGAATCCTATAAAACTCCTATTGGTTGGATAGCCTCCTGAAGATCAGAAAAATAAGAAATAGTTCAAACCCTCTATCTCAGAAGAAAGTGAAGGCGAGCCAATGAGCAGAAAACTTCAAACGAGACCTTAAAAAGTATCAATTGCCAGTCTGATGCATAAAACAGGTATGCTACTTAACATATATGCACACTGGCTTCTTGCATTGTGATCACATTCTTTCAGGTTGCAATTTAAGGACAAGAAACAGAGATGAGGAGTAAAAGGCAAGTTCTCACAGTAAAAAGAATTTGGAACAAAGGTAAACTTGCACTGTTCAATGTAATTACATGATTTGAAAAATGAATCAGAAGAATAAAAAGTTTACTCATGTAAAAACACTCAGAACTACCAAATAAGCAGACTATAAAGCTCTGCAAAAAGATTGCAGTATATTAAGTAGGAAATGCAGGTGAAATTCCCTGTCAGTGACTGCAAAGTGATACACATGGGAGTAGGGGAAAACTCTTGACACATACACAAAGGCTATTACTTTAGCAATTACCACTCGGGAACAATACAACAGAAGTGCAATGGATCATTCTTTGAATACATGCTCAGTGAAGTCAAAAAGAAACAGACATTTGGAGCCTTAAGAAAAGTCCAAACACTCCATCTAGAACTTAGAGTTAATGGTGTGCCTAGTTTGTAAATACCATCTAAGGTTTCAATGTTCCTATCTGAAAAAGGATGTAATATAATTCAGAAACATATTGAAAAGGTGGCAAAGATAGTCGGACACATGTAGAAACATTCCTACAAAGAACACTGACTATGATTCTTTGCTTTAGAATAAGAAGGAAAAGGAGAAGTCTATGAAATTATAAAAGCTATGCATAAGTGTGTTGGGTTTGCGTGGCAAGGTTTTGGTAGCACGGGGGGCGACGGGCACCTACAGGATGGCTTCTGTGAGAAGCTGCTAG